TGCTGCTCCCCCTTGTCCGCTCTCATTGAAACACAACTCCCTCCCTCCCTCTCTCCCTTTCCATCGTTCCCTTTCCAGAGTGAGTGCACAGGCACTCTCGCTCTCTCTGTATTTCTCTGTACTAGTTTACACGCAGCACAAAAAGGAACTTGCTGCCGCTGTCACTAACACTCTGTTGCCATCTACTTCTCTCGCCTCAGAAGACGGTAAGAAATCTGAAGAACTCGACCTCCTCCCAGTGCTTCCTTTTGCACATTGTCTCTCCTTCTAACAATCTCCTAACCATGTAAACACCCACGCCCATACATGCGACGTGGGTATGCAGGTACATCTCGCTTTAAAATGCAGTGTCTGTCTCTCCCTCCCTCTCAAGCCAGCTGTGCATCACATTCAGTCTAGGGCTATCGCTCACACTCCTGTTTTCCAGCTCAGGAAGATCTAGGAGAGTTTGGCCGGGTGTTTTTCTGCCTTCTGCTGTGCTTTTCCCCAGGCGTGCCCCTCCGAGACCTTCTGTTTGTGTATCTGAGAGCGCTTCGGCAGTGGAAAAGTGCTCTCTGGCTCATGTGCTCTGTCCATTTTGCACGAGAGTGTGTTCTCACTCGCGTGACCAGTCTGCCCAGTGACCTGTGCAGCTGGGAGTCTGAATCCTTCAACACACACACACACACACACACACACACTCTCAGATCCATTAAAGAGTTGAAAAAAATTGCAATGCCCTATCATTAAATCCAGGTCACAAAGCTTTTCATACAAAAGATCTGTCCTATACTAACACAGCCTTAATGGTAACAGCATATGAGACATTTCTCTTCTGCTCTGAGTGAGTTAGGGTATGTGCACAAATACATTAACGTGGAACTGTTCGTATAAGGCATAAGCAACAGGATGAAAACGCATAAACCCGAACAGCACACGGTTCAATACCAGAGGGTTGCATGTGATGATTATCTAACGGCAGACATAGTTGAGGACCACGGGGAGGTGGCACTCTATTATGAAAGCACAGACTGTGGGAACTGTTTTGAAATGCAGAGGATATCCTACGCAGCCATAGAGCGATGTGGTTGCCATGGAGACAGCAAACGCTCAACCTTTGAAAAGAGATGCCTAGAGGAACTGCAATAAAGCCCACAGAGACAGTATGCCTGACTTATTTGCACAAGAGCACCGTGCCTCACCACAAAGATGTGTGCACAAAAGCAGTTTCTATTTAAAATTTATCTCAGATTTATACATTTTTTCCCCCTTTCAGTTGCATTCTGTAGTCTGCGTGACATTTAAAATTCAGTCAGAATATGCACTAATATGTCTTGCCTACATGTGCCTCATTCCATTCATGTCCAGACATGTGCAAGTTCTTGAGAACAACTTGGATGCTGGAAAACTACCTCTCTCATGGTGGCTTCACTGGTTCAAAGACTTGTTTACTGGATAGAGGCAGACCAAGGAAATGTAAAACATTTTTAAATGTTTAAACAACACTCAATTTTATACAATATTTAATGGAGCCTTTTCAAAAGAAATTAATACTTTTATTCAGCAAGGATGCATAAAATTGACCAAAAAGTATCAATAAAGAATCATGATCTGTTCTTCTGAACTCTATATTCACCAAATAATCCTGATCAAATCAGCATTATAATGATTTCTGAAGGATCATGTGACACTGAAGACTGGAGAAATTATGCTGAAAATTCAGCTTTGCCATCACAGGAATAAATTCATTTTAAAATATATTAAAATAGAATATAAATAGTAATAATATTTAACAATATAAACCTGTATATTTGATCAAATAAATTCAGCCCCGGTGAGCACAAGAGACTTTCAAAAACATTTTAACAATTGTATAGAGCACAAACTTTTGAACAGAAGACGTGTAACATACTGTTCAATGTGAATGAACTACACAATCTGTAATTAAAGCCAATGATCATATGGTGCCAATATATTGTGCATCTCTAATTTATATGATGTTGTATGATGCTTACATAGCAATTCAATTAAAATCAGATTGAAAAGTTTATAGACAAACTTTAAAGTTGGCTTGAAAAAGCCTAGCCAGAAAGATTAAAGATAGATAGATAGATAGATAGATAGATAGATAGATAGATAGATAGATAGATAGATAGATAGATAGATAGAACTTTATATAGTATTTTTCTGTTTAAGGAATAATTTCATTTTCTCACAAAAATTTGTAAGATCACTAAACAATTTCTGGACCCACTGCAGTGCAGTACAACTGTGTTGGGTAGAATGAGAGGTAACCGAACGGAAGCGCAGCTTCTGTCTGAAAACCCTCAGAGATCCAACTCCACACAAAGGCAGGACAGGGTGGTGTTGAAGAGGAACTGTTGGAGCCGTTCGCTTTAATGTTCCACCCGACCCGGCCTTGGGACACTGGCAACAAAAACGTTACACGTAGATGGGAAACTTCTCTGTCATGATAAATTTTCCACCTTAACAACCACATGTTTACGCAGACTGTTCTAGCAGCATGAATACAGCTCCTCTGCTGTTAAGAATGGTTCTATTCAAATATATAATTTAGACATCCAAAAGGTTACAGCCAAAAGTCTTGCAATATAGTAAATCTGTCATGTGGCACTACAGCAATATATGCCATTGGCAATAGCTGTAAGTATTAGAACCTCTTACTGTAAGACCAGTGAGACATGCAGTGACATGATACACATCCTATTGCCAAAGAGGATGCCACAAGAATTCTGCATCCTCTTTATTGTGTAATGACTCATCGATTATAACATGCTGTAAACAACTGTCTGCACACATTCTTAAAAGCTTTTCCTTTGTTTATAACGTCCGTTAAACAATGCTGTGTCTCCCTTTTTCTGACGCAGTACACTTTCCTTTTGCCTGTTTCCATATCAGTACAGAACACACACACACACACACAGAATGAGGAAACAGAGTGATTGAGAAATAGAAAAAAGGGAGTGAAAGCGGTGCTGACGTGACGTATTCTTCGAAATCGATAATTTGTCCAGTAGCAGTTTTAACATTAAGTGACATGGGCATCTGACGCGCAGATGCCAATGGCACATGTCACTATGCGTATTGGCACATCCGGTGGCACATCCGGTCTCCATTGGCATGTGCCAGTGGATAGTGACATGTGTCACTGACATTATTGGCATGTGCCAGTGGATAGTGACATGTGTCACTGACATTATTGGCATGTGCCAGTGGATAGTGTCATGTGTCAATGACATTATTGGCATGTGCCAGTGGATAGTGACATGTGTCACTGACATTATTGGCATGTGCCAGTGGATAGTGACATGTGTCACTGACATTATTGGCATGTGCCAGTGGATAGTGACATGTCACTGACATTATTGGCATGTGCCAGTGGATAGTGACATGACAGACATTATCGCGACACTCTGACACTGTCGCGGAACTGTTTGCCGTCTTGTGACAGTAGTGACTGACAAATGAGCTGAGCAGCTATACTGACGTAATTGTGAAACAAACGCCTATATAAATTGCCTATTTTAGTGATGTTTTTTAAATAAATTAAAAGTTTTAAAGTTTTTTTTTTATCAAAGTAACATGTGGTGACAGTTGAGGAACATCTACGGGTGGTGTATTTGTCATTTGTTTGAGTAGCAAGTACAGTAATACAGTAGCAAAAATTCAATTAAAAAAACGAGTAATCAGAGTCTGATGTCGATATTAATAATTAGTGGATAATTTATATAATATATAATATATCAATATTATTGAGCTATAATTTATGTAAGTAAATTATTTACTAATTATTTATATTGATATCAGACAGACTCTGATTACTTTGTTTTTGCTTATACTCATCTAGCTTTAATATTTTACAAATACATTTAAGGAATTATGTAATAAGAAATAAACCAATTTTTATAAATCTGAACATGCATTCTTTCTGTAGATGTCATATCATCACATCTACATAATTCTCCGGTTGACAGCGGCTACGCTACTGGAGTGTGATAAGGTCATAACATACGGCGACATGTACCGCGACAATGTCATTGGCACATAAAGCAATCCATCAACATGTCACTTATTGGCACATGCCACTATCCACTGACACGTCACAAGGTTTATTGGCACAAGCCATTATCCACTGACACATGCCAATGAAAACCACATGCACCAGACGACTGCGTCATGTGCCACTGACATTGTTGCGGAACATGTTGCTGTATGACGTGACACCTCTAATGACACATGCTGCTATCTGCTATGTATGGTGTGATGAACGGCAGAACATTTGATTAATAATACGATGCTTTCAGACATTACATCTCGGTCTTAATTTTTACAAACATTGGGCTTCGCCATATTTTTAATATCGTGGTCCGTTGTATGCATTTATATTTACTATGGTTCTTTTTTATCATTTAGACAATGTATTTAATACCTACATATTGTATACAGTTGTTATGATAACACATTTATCTCTATTTGCATATAGGACCAACAGTTCAGCTGTGTCATTTGTAACTATACAAGAATATACAGTAGAAACTATTTAGCTATTTTAGTAAAATGTTCTTATTAAAGTGGTACTTACAAGCAGGAGTATGTTGTTTGTGCACCACAAATTGACACTTAACAATCAGGTATTTCAAATAATTGTAAACTAGTATGAGATAAAATGCCCCAAACCATTGTAAAGTGACACATACCATTGTTAAATTAATTATGAACCTTGACCTTGACACTGGCTTTTCACAATGCAGAGTAGTGTACATCTTTAGATCCTATATTAAACTGGATATCTATTATAATGTGGATACAGCAAGTCAAATATTTGAACAAAACATGTGGGCATCTCCAGAAGGAATATATATTAAATGAATTTGTTGTTATTGTAGACTAATCCCCAATGTTTAGTCAATGGTAGCTTTTAAAATGCATACACCTTTTTCAGTAAGCAGAGACAGAAAAGAGACTCGACAAATATGTAAGTTAAAGTAATGGCTTTTTCCCCCCTTTTAATAAATGCAGTTGATGCATTAGCATACTTCAAATTATTGTAACTTAACTATGCCAGAGGCCATAACAACTTCAACCGCATAGCGGCAAATCTTCTCCAATCTTTGTAGAAGAAGTATGGTCACCTTAAAAAGAAGAAGAAAAAAGTAGTTTTTCATCAAACAACAAATAACACAAATCAACCTCAATCATTAAGATAATTACCACATACTTCTGGAATCATAACATCAAATATGTAGTTCAGGTTTTCAAGATCCTCATCTGCATCCACTGCTCTCTTTATTTTGTCAGCAAGTTTAATCAGCTATTAAATATGATAATATTGAATCATTTAGGATAATAAGGAACTTGTTGTAATATAACAATAACATATACTGCAAGTAAAATGTGAAACGCTTAAAACAATAAGATTCCTCACATCACTTTCGCTGAAATGGCACTGCTTTGGCTTTAAGTGCTGCTTGAATTTCAGTGATGTCTCTGGATGTTTCCACAGGTAAAACCGACAGGATTTGATGTCTCCATTGTGAAAAGCTTCATGTAAAGCCTGTTGGAACAGAATTGTGTTAAAATGGTGTGTGTATATATATATATATATATATATATATATATGCCAATAAAATGTTAATTGTGATTTTATAGTACTCACTTTTATGTCTTGATCTGAGATTATGTTTTCAATTCCAAGTCTCAGAGCCTTCCGAGTGCTACAAAGAAACAATAATGTAGATGTCATCAACATCAGGTTATGACATAGCATAGAACAAAAAACAGGCTATAGAATAGCTGATTATTCAGAAGATGACAATGAACCAGTGGCACCACAAAAGGTTGTTAATAAGTGGTTAGCTAAATCAAAGTTTATGTAGCTTTATACTGATTATGAAACCTGAATTGAAGTACCATAATATTAATGTTGAGTATCTTTTGTTCCTATTTATTTCTAGCATGATCAAACTTTTCAGTGAAAATAAAAATAAAAAGTCATTATGGGCTAGACCATGATCCAACTCCATGTTTCTTAATGACAGTAAAAGCTTTCTATTTAAACTTACTCATCAAAAGTGTATGGTTGTGTCAAATCACATCCACATTTGAAAGTGCCTTTTTTGACATCTGCTTCTTTCACTCCAGCACAATCTGTGTGTAGCCAGCCCAAACACATGTCACACTGTACCCACAAGGTCTTGACAACACTGGGATACAATGGCCTGTGAATAAGATACACATGGTATAATAAGTGTATTCACCTAAAAATATACAGTAAAAAGTCAAAACAAACAAGGCCTACCCTTTGCCCACTTTCTGAAAACAGCACACACGCAAGTCACCTGCCATACACTCCATCGGTTTTTCTGGTATTTTCATTGATTCCTATAATGAAAAATAATAACAATGTTCTGTTCCTGTAAATTATTAGTCTGAAACATTTTTCGAGTTAAAACAATAATAAGACAACCAACCTCTACAACAACATCTTTTACTAAGTCTGTTGCATGATATTCTCGTAGATATTGTGTTTGTGACAGACCAATGGTCTCTTTTCTCAACCTGAAGCCCTTCAGCTCCATCTCTGCCATCTGTTCAAGGTGAACAAAAATGAAAGATGAAACATTAGTTGTGTATTTTCTAAATTAGTCAGACCATAACATTTTACCAGTCTTTTTCTGATGAAATAAAAACAATGTTCTTTAAAGCTAGCTAAAAATTTTGAAACTACAAATATAAAAATACATATTTATTATAGGCTTTATGTCTTACAGTGCATACAAACACTCCACAGTTGTTTGCATCACCCTTGCTCTGCAGCCACTGTGGTGGATAAGAGATAATCCAATCAGCAAGTTTCCATGTGTTACTGAAGGCATCACTGATGAAGAAAAAGATGCATAGACAGAGTCACAGACAAGAACATTATTACACACTGCTGATCTGAATGTAATATGAAAGTGCATCCAGACTGATCATTTGTATTGAAAGTTCATTCAGATTACCCTGCCTTTATATTAATCTGAAATATAACATATAGTCATTTATGACTAAGAGATTACACATGGTTACTTCACAGTAGACAAAAATGCATCTTTAATGCAGTTTGACTGAATGGTCAATGTGCTTTATATGTATAGCTTTCCTGTAGTTTAAACAGTAGAGCGTTGGGTTTGATTCCCAGGGAAAGTAAGAACTGATAAGAATGTAAATGTGAACCTTGAAATGCAATGTAAGTCGCTCTGGATAAAAAATGTCTGCCAAATGCATAAATGTAAATGTTAAATGTACCTAAAATGCTGCAGCACAGATATTTAAAAAAGGGTAGAAATACATTACCAAAGTATTTCCATATGACTCTTTGGTATATCTTTGTAAAGCTCCATGGAATCAAACACCCGGATCTCATGACTTTGACCACAGAACACCTTTGAGTTTGAAGATATTAAAAGGAAAAGATGTACATAAAAATAGAATTAAAAAAAGAATTAATATTAAAATAATTTTTTAGAATCTAATTATTTCAACTAACCCACAAAATGAAGTGGTTCCCAAACTCAGGGTTCTCACTCTTACTGACACATCGAGGAAAAACCACAGTGTCACTTCCTTTAAGGTTCTTTTCAAAATAAAAGAAACAATTCTGTGTAATAATTGCTATTACAAAACAGTCCATAACAATCTACATACACACACACACACACATATTATATATATATATATATATATATATATATATGTGTGTGTGTGTGTGATTGCGTGTACATGAACAGTATACCTTCAAGCATGATACATTTCGAGGGGATATTTTTGTTTGAGTGATCCAGTCTCTCCACCAGCAAATAAATGTAAATGTCGGGAGCATCACAAACTTGCAGAAAATATAAATATAAATAATTATTACATTTAAAATATATATATATATTAATATATATATATATATATATATATATATATATATATATATATATATATATATATATATACATACAGTATATAATTAATTCAATAAGTATTTTTTATCAAATCTCTTAGAAAATAGAATATGTACTTACATTGGGTGTTGTAGATGCAAGCTGTGCTACTCTAGTATTGACAGCCTATTACACATAAATACGTGTTAATGTTTCATACTAAATTGTTTTTATACTTCACAAAATGTATATTCTTTCCCCCGACATTAACCGTACCCCTAAACCTACTCATCACAGAAAACTTCCTGCATTTTTAGAATAAAAAAAAGAAAGTCACAGGACAGGAAGTGTCCTCGTAAACCATGATTACATTAATACCCATGTAACCCAAAAAACACAGTACATACTTCATCAGTCAGCCATGGTTGGTTGGGTAGGATGTCTTCTGATTCAGGTAAAATGGATTGTGCTGGATATAGTGACTGTAGGTCTTTAACTGTTGCTGTACAGTTGTCAACTTGCACAAGGACTGAAGTATGATTTTGTACAGTGCAGTACAATTCAGAAAGCTTGTCCTACAGGTAAATAATGGCATGTAGAATGATAACACAATTATTATGATGACATTTCCAACATGGCATGATTTTGTTATTGAAAATCAATTTGTGCTAAACCAAATCTAAATATTTGCAATGATACCTTGTTTTCCTTTAAGATGGGGAAAAGTGATGTGTTAAAGTGTAGTCCTTCACCCGAGATTAATTCTTTCTTCTTTTCCTTGATCCGTTCAGGAATTTGAAATCTTGAGTCAGTGCCTCTATCTGTAACAATTCACAGTGATTAGATCAACGTTTATGCAAGATAGTTATAAGGTTAAATGCACAAATTAAGATAAGATTTCTATCAATCTCACATGTAGTGAAGAGACTCAGTCTGCCATCCAGGCCAACTTCAGCTGCCCCTTGTGTCTGTCTCAGCATTTTGTCCATGAATGATTTATTCACTTTACAGTTATGCAAATGGAACACCAAGCGAAGTGCAAACATAAAATGAACATCTTTCAGCTGACAAAGAAAGTATCGAGAGTTGGCAAGTTCCCGGTTGAGTTGCTCTGCCATTGAAGAGTTAATGAGACCAAGGAGCTCTGGGACAAGATCAAGGCTTCTCAGTTTCTCTTTTTCCTGTTTTTGGTTACGTTGATGAAAGCGGTCATACAATGAAAGTCTATCTGACGTTCCTGTGATAGGGTGAGGTTTGTCAAGTGCTTCAGTGGCTTCATTACCTTGACTCTGGACACGTCCACCTTCAGTCATGGTTTTAACCCAGGGTAAATGGACAACAAGCTCCTTAGCTGAGGCCTTGGCCACATTTTCAGCTGTGGCCTCACACAGTCTGCCATCAAAAGGCCTGAAAAATGCCTGTCGAGTTCTATTGTTAGCATGTCGTGCAACACGTCCAGCTACATCTGAAATGTAGATAGTCGGTGGAGTTTTTAAATTCAGAAGAGCGTCAACGTGGTCCCTCGCTGACTCTTGCCACCAAAGAGGTGAACAAACGTAAACAATTGCATGTGGGCAGCCAACATGGAGAACACCACCTGAAAAAAAGAATAGACAAAAGCTAAAAGATATCTTCTAACAAACTCAATTGAAAAACTGTACATGGTTGCCATACCTCCAGTCTTCTGTAGTTTGATGAACATTTTGGGGTAAATGTCTTTGTATAGAAGTAGCTCCTCCAAGCGATTAATGATATCTGAGGCAGAGCCAGCAACAGATACTCCAAGTTGTGCACATGCTGCCAGCAGCTCACTTTTGGAAGGCTTGAAAAAGAAATGTAACTATTTAGTTTTTTTGCTTCAAAATAAAATGTGTGTTTATAAGTAATAATTATGGCATAGTAATACCTTTTTGGATTCAAGCAATTTTAGTACTGTGTCCTCAACAGCATGCGAGTCCACAGGAGGTGACTTGTCACTTAGACGATCTGAAAACCCTTTGAGGATCTCTGTTTTTGTTAAAACTTTTCCAGCTCTGCAGGAGGATCCAAGCCAAGGGGCAAAAGATGAGTAGGACAGTTCACTGGAGAAAGGGTTTCTCTCCTTTGTTTCTATGTGTGATGTAGGGGGAAAGGACAAATTATCTATCTTAGCAATTATGTAGTATTTAAATGACAATCCATGTGATCACATAAATCAATGTTTGTTAGTTTAGTTCTTACCATTACTGAAACCAACACAAATTAATTCCTTTTCCAATGATGACCATCTCTCATCAACATCAACTCTAAGGTCACTTGGTTGTACATTCTGAGTACATGGTCTCTTCAGGAGATTGACTAGTGGAAAAATTACGTCATAAATTCGCTACACCAATCATAAATAACTGTTATTTATATATTATTATTACACTGTAATTTCTATAAATAGCTTACCAGGTAAATCAAATGCCACCTTCCAATTACCATCAGCAATTAGGATAGGTGGTTCATGGCCACAGCGAATACAGGAAAAGTCATAGCTATATCTTTTCATTGCCCAGAAATGAAAAATTGCTTTCCTCAGGGTGTTGTGGTGAATTGTAACTTGAAGAAGGTCCTCCATCATTGACAGAAATCGCCCAATGGCCGTGTTTGTCTTTAAAGTGTGGTAATTAAAAAAATATACCTTAAAATACATACATTAAAATCAATTTGACATGCTGTTCATATGGATTACAAATAACTTTTTCTTACCTTTAGGGCAGATGTCATCATTGCACATAGACGAGTTGTCAAAATAATACTATTGTTGAAATTATGAAAACCTGAAGTGTATTCTTGAAACCTGACTGGTGTCTTGCAGGCCAGGCAGTATTTTACACACACTGTAACACCTTTATTAGAAGAGAGAACAAAAAAAACCTTCCTTTCCTGTGGCATTATCACACATTTGCAAATGTTTTCATTTTTAATCTAATGTACAAACCTTTCTTCACTGAATCTATGTCGTAGACTGACGCATTCTTTGTTGCAACCACTGGTTCTGTAAGACCTGGTGGGGTGGGCCCAGGGCAATAAGGACATGTTTCCTCTGTGGGCTCAAACCTTATCGGGACCTGACTTGCCTGAGTCCTTAATTTCTGTGGCAACACTTCTGGTATTCTTTTGTTTTCCCAGAGATAGTTGGTCATTGCAACTAATTGGTGCTTCTTTAGTCCTTCACCTTCAACACCAAGTTCAATCTCTTCGTTTTCAGAGGGGTCCCCTGACAAGTTACTGTCTGCTCTGGAAGACTCAATTAATAAATCTTCTCTTTCTTGGAAGAGCCACCACATTGCCATATAGATATGGACGCATCGATACTGTTTCTTTGTGCTTTTACAAAGGCAATACCAGTCTCCCAACAATTTGTCAAAGGACACTCTTGTCCGCCCAAAGAGGCACCATCTTTCTTTCTTTCCTGAATAAATGGAAAAGTAAACAAATCGGCCAGAATATCCATGTTTCTCAAAGAAAATAGGAAAAACAGAGCAGATTCCCTCTGATGACGCTAAACTGTTAAGTTCAGTGCACTCCGTCATTCTGGTGGTGGACATCAGTCCTTTTTCCTGCATCGTCTTCAAAGTTTCTTCTCTAACAGGCTCAGGAGGAATGTATGGTGGAGCAGAAGAAACTCTGATTAAATGCTCACACTCTGCACCAGGCTTTCCACTAAGTTTAGCCAGAGTCATGAACTCCCGGCACTCTGCTACTTCACAGGCAATGACTTGAGAGGTGGTGCTTTTCTGCATATGTATTGGGACTCTTTGGCCTCTACTATTTTTGGCTGTGATGAAGACACCTTGCTGCACATCAACACAGTAAACAGGATCGGTTGTTGCATGAAACTCATTTTCATGTCTACGAAGACTCCCTGCTGTAGTAAAAGAGGATGAGCAGTGGCAACACATAAAGCTCTGCTCACCAACAGGAGCACTCGCTGCATTTTCATTTTTCTTTGGCTCACCTAAAAATGTAAATAAATAACAGTGGCAATTTCAGAATTAGCGAGTGAGTTTGATTAGTATGTCATATGTTGTTATGTACCAGGCTTAATTAATAGCTATGGACCATGTTATGTACACATACTGTAGACCAAGACTAAATGCCATTGAAATGAAATTAAATGAAATGCTATTGAAACGACTGAAAACATTAAGTGTCGTAGGCTTGAAATATCAACAGAAAATTATAACTATGCAAATATAAAATTAACAAATTCATACTTTTCTTTTGCAGGTCTTTGAATGGTGTTACCATGCAACCTGCAAAACAAGTATATTAAGTCAGGGATAACAGTAATTTTAATAGGTTATGTGTTTGGCAATAGCATGATTAATAATCATGTAATATAATAATTAATTCCTACCATGTTTCTGCAGATGATCTTCAAATGCATTTCGCCTTTGTAAAATCCTGTCACACTTAAAGCAATGCCAGTGACTTCTTTTTAATTTGTCAATTTTGTCACAAAAGCATGGTACAGTGAACAGAACTGTTAGGAAGCACATAAAGAAAATAGTAGTGTATAATGAAACTAATGGTTTAGTGAATAAAATATGTTACAAAACCAATATATGCTCACCAAAATCACCATCTTTAAAGTGCACAGCATATTGAAAATGCTTTTTTTCCAGGTGCTCTTCTGACCCAACCACAGCCTGTCTGCATAGCTGGCAATTGTTTCCTTCATTGGCCTTAATTAAACTAATACGGTCTTCGAATGTTTGAAGACCTTAAGGGGCAAACATATATTATATACAATACAATACGCACCTAATATACAATTGCGTTAATCTATTAATATTTTATCATATAATACTATATAATAACAATTTTATAGGCCTAAGTTAATAGTTTATAAATTGTAGTGGTATGCAAATATAGGCCTAACATTTTACGATATGACAGAGTAGGCCTATGCTTTTATACTAGAGCTATAACACTACATATTAACGTTATACATATATAATAATCAATGAAATCTACATCATTCTAAGTTATTTATATTTAAGGGTATTCGTTTTTCGGGAATTTTTACCTCGATGCTTTACACTACATTGACTAAAGTTAACGTAGCCTAATCATCTAACGTTATCCATCCTCAATAGCGACGAAGAAACCGCTTGACTTACCGTTCATGTTTGACCGAAAGTAGTAAACCGTTCATTATCTGTAGTTTACTTATATCGACATCAGACTCTGATTAGCCAACTCGTTTTTTTTGTTGCTACCTTCTTACTGTACTTGCTAGTTGCTACTCATACAAACGACAAATACACCACCCGTAGTCCGTAGATGTTCCTCAACTGTCGCAAGTTTTAGGTTATTTTGCGCTGGCCAGTGTGGACTTACTGACACCTACTGGCGTGCATGCAGCATCATGCAAAATTAAAGGTTACAGTTGAGTAGTAGCCTAACAGATGCGACTGTTCATGCGCTATTCGTAGTAACGTCTGATTTATTCGTTGTGTTTCCTAGGATGGGCAGTTTGCGTGATCAACAACATTGGCATTACATTTTTGAACATTCAGTGGCTTATATGCCACTCATAGACTACTGATGTGTCACAAACTGACATGTTTGAGAAAAAAAATAATACTTTAAAACGTTTAATTTATTTAAAAAACATCACTAAAATAGGCAATTTATATAGGCGTTTGTTTCACAATTACGTCAGTATAGCTGCTCAGCTCATTTGTCAGTCACTACTGTCACAAGACGGCAAACAGTTCCGCGACAGTGTCAGAGTGTCGCGATAATGTCTGTCATGTCACTATCCACTGGCACATGCCAATAATGTCAGTGACATGTCACTATCCACTGGCACATGCCAATAATGTCATTGACACATGACACTATCCACTGGCACATGCCAATGGAGACCGGATGTGCCACCGGATGTGCCAATACGCATAGTGACATGTGCCATTGGCATCTGCGCGTCAGATGCCCATGTCACTTAATGTTAATACCGCCTCTCAATTTGTTAGTGAATATATTATCCTGAAAAGAACTGTTCAAATGTTTACTATGCCTGCGGGTCAAAGTCTTGGTTGGTTAGCATGGCCTAGCCCTAGTTAATCCCTGGCGGTAGATGCTATTCTGGTGAAATATTTTGTGTGTAGATTAGATTGTAAGCAAACAATCAGTTCTAGTAATCGATGTGTTGGTTGCAGGAGAAATGGGCATGAATCAAGATCTGATCGACTTTTACAAGGGCCAAATTGTTATGGCAAGGCGACTGGGTCAGAGTATCTCTGAAACGGCAAGGCTTGAGAATTTACCAACAGTGGTCCGAGAGGGACAAACCACAAGTCAAACAAATTTTAATGATGGTTATGGGAGGAATGTCACAACACAGATCACACTCTGCTGCATATGAGGCTGCGTAGCTGCAGACCAGAGTGCATGACCCCTGACCCTGAGATTACTTTTTCTTTTTCTTTCTTTCTTGTTTTACGACGGTTGGCATCCAGCTTATTGGTGCATTACTGCCACCTTCTGCTCCGGAGTGTGGATCAGTTTACAATCTATATTCCTTACCTTCTCTTCGCCACTACGCACTCACTCACTCACGCACGCACGCATGTACACACACACACACACACACACACACACACACACACACTCAGATCCATTAAAGAGTTGAAAAAAATTGCAATGCCCTATCATAAAATCTAGGTCACAAAAATATATATAATTTTTATTATGATTTTGCATATATTTATTGTTTGACATGCAATAACTCGGAAAGGAAATATGGTGGGGAAATTTTTTTGTGAAGTCCCTCCTACATGTGAGCTGCATCTGGATCAAATTTTGTGGTGATTGCATAAAGTAATCAAAAGTTACAGCATTTGGAACCAAGATAGCCTTTTTGTTCAGTCCTTGACGCCCCCTAATGGGCATTTTAAAAATTGTTCCTCCATAAGGAATATCTTGTGTTCAACGCAAAAGATTATGTTTATTTTGGGCTCATTTTAATTTGAGAACATTGGAAAACACATTGCATCCCGGAAAGATAAGAGACATGTTTTTAAGCCATGTATGCATCACTTCGTGAGGTATATCTGGTGATCAACGCAATGGATTATGTTATGTTTGGGCTCTTTGTAATCATAAGACTCTGCTGTCAATAAAGATGTTCCACAATTCATGCATGTTTCATGGAGTTATGAGCAGAAACGTCACATCACTAACCCTAACCCCGCCGGCAGTACACTTCGGGTTTAAGGGGTTAAAGTATATGATTCTCCACAATAGCTCTGTTCTGCTATATATTTCAAACTTGACAGGTGTCTTGCTATGGGCACGAGTAAGTGCAGTGCCAAGTTTGACGTTGTTTGGATTAGAAATGCAAAATATCGCTAAATATATCAGTAAAAGAAGCACACACTGAAGATGTTTAGATGATGTTTAGAAGGTTGTGGTTTAAAAATAAGCTTTCTGACATAAACACTCTGTCAGCTAAACATTAAGTCATGCACCAAAAAAAATGTCACTGAATTTTTGCTCTGTAATTGTAACAATGAGCACTCAAACACACCATAACAACAATTACTAAAAACACACACAAAAGTTCGGTTTTTGAGCCTCACGCGCCCCCTGGTGGAAATACACTTTAGCTATTAGCTTGTTTTTTTTTTTTTTTTTTTTTTTTTTTTTTTTTTTTTTTTTTTTATTTCCAAAATTATATCAAAATACAGTAGATACAGATGTTTCACATATACTGTACTAAATGATTACAAATCATCATAAGATATGAAAAGCATTAAAGATAACATTCATATCAATGAAATTAAAGAACACTCAATCACACATTAGAAAAATAAAAGAAAGAAAAAAAAGAAACAACAACAATGTAAAGGAGGTATACATGTATACTTAAAATAAAAAAGAGGAGTTTAAATCTTTGAGGATGTCCATCGTTCTGGTTGCTTTGCGGTTTGAGAGTCCTTTCAGTGTTTCAAAATAAATCTTCAAGTCAGCTTTAAAATGGTAGATGTTAGGCATCCTTTCAGACCATTTACATTTATGTATGTAAAACTTACCAAGTAATAAGATCAAATTTAACATAAAATCGTGACTCTTGTCTAAATCTTTTTTTTCATAATAAAAAAAAACATCTCTTTTCTCTATACTTATCTTAATTCCACTCAACATATTAAATAAATATTCCACATCAATCCAGAAAAACTTCACATACATACATTCAAAGAAAAGATGTAAGAGAGTTTCAGTATCCTTTTTACAGAATGTACAGGATTCAGAAAGGTCATTTTTATATCTTTTTAGGAACGCATTTGTTGGATAAATTTTATGTATAATTTTAAAATATATTTCGTACACTTTGTTATTAATACAGTATTTATTAGTATAGGTCCAAGTCGATCTCCAATTGATATTTCCACAATGTTCATTCCAAAAAAATTTATGTCGAGGTGTAACAGGACAGTGAATCAAGCATCTAAAAAATGTATTATTACATTTACTATCTTTTATATCAACACCGTTTAACAAAACCTGTTTTTTATCCATTGATTGCTTATGAGGTTCACTACTGCCTCTCAAGAGTCTCAAAAAACCTACTGGTATAGCATCAAAAACAATACTGTATTCTCGTGGAGATATTGGAATCCCAAATATGTTTAAAAATTCAGTATATGTAAGTAAGAAACCCTTGTTATTTATCAATTGTGAGACCATTAGAATATCATTTTTAACCCAATTGTCGTAAAAGATTGATTTATTCTTATATTTAACCAATTTATTGTTCCAAATTAAGTGTTTGTGGGGGGAAAAGTTATGTTTGTATATAAGAAGCCAACATAAAAGAGCCTGTCTGTGAAAATTGGATAACTGAATGGGGAGCCTATTAACCTCAAAGTCACATTTTAAAAGAAACTCTATACCACCAACTTTTTCAAAAATAAGATTTGGAATTATATACCATAGTTTATCAGTATGCTTAATATAATGTTTAATCCAGTTCAACTTGAAAATTGTATTAGAAGTACCAAAATCGAGCACATTTAAACCTCCTTGATTATAAGAATTACATAAAATATTTTTATTTAAATAGTGTGACTTGTTTTTCCATATAAAGTTGAATAAGGTCGAATCAACTTTTTTAATAAAAGATGTTGGTACATCTAACACTTTTGCAGGATATACTAAACGAGACAGCCCCTCAGTTTTGGACAAAAGAACTCTACCTTTGAGTGATAAATCCCTCATGAGCCACATATCAAATCTCTTTTTCATTTTCACCACAAGAGGTTGGAAATTAGATTGCACTCTGTCTGATTGATTTTTACAGATATTGATACCAAGGTACGTAACTTCCTCCCTAACTGGTATACCTTCAAATTCAGTTAAAGGAATATCATTGTTTTTAAGTGGGAAAAGAATACATTTTTTAACATTTAAAGATAAACCTGAAGCTTTAGAAAATATATTGAGACATTCCATAACTTTTTTAACCTGTGATATGTCTTTTAAAAAAATAGCTGTATCATCAGCTAGCTGACAACATTTAATTTCTTTATCCATAATTTTGATGCCTTCAAACGTGTCATTGTGTATATATAGAGCCAAAGTTTGCATAATCAGAAGGAATAAGAAAGGAGCCGCCGGATCTCCTTGTTTTATGCCCCGGGAAATGCTAAATCTACGAGTAGTTCCCCATGGAAGTTTAACTGAACTATTGCAGTCACTATATAAAGTTTGTATTGCCCTTTTAAAGTGTTGACCAAAACCAAAAAATTCTAAAACGTCAAATAAAAATTCATGTTTTACAGTATCAAAGGCTTTGTATATATCTATAAATAAAATGTAACTATTATTGGTTATGTAATCCTTATAATCAATTAAATCTAAGATTAATCTAATATTGTTACTAATATGTCGTCCTTGCATAAAACCAGACTGACTGTCATCTATTATTGTATCTAAACATAATTTTATTCTTTGCGCAAAAATATGAGACAACAATTTCGCATCATTATTAATTAAGGTTATAGGCCTCCAATTGTCAAGAAGCAAACAGTCCTTATTGGGTTTAGGTAACAATGTAATTAAGCCTTGACACAAAGTTGGGGGAAGTCTACAAGTTTCTATAGCCTCCTTAAAAACTAATAATAAGAATTCAGAAATGTAATCTTGGAATGCTTTATAAAATTCACCTGTTAGGCCATCATTCCCTGGGGATTTATTATCTTTAAGCTTACTAATGTTCTTTTTTAATTCTTCTAGGGATATGTCTTGATCACAAATGTCCTTCTGAGTTTCATCAAGACCTTGAGCCACACTTTTTATACAGGAGAGAAAATATGAGCTCTGACAACTGTTGTGTTCAGAGTATAGTTTTTTATAAAAATCTTCCACAAAATTAGAAATTTTTGAGGGGTCTTCAGAGATCTGACCATTTATTTTGAGTTTATATATACTGTTAACACTAACATTTCTCTTTTCTAAATTATGAAAATACTTCGTATTCCTTTCACCATGCTCTATCCATTTTCGTCTAGAACGAATAAAGGCTCCCTGTGCCAGATTTTGATAGATATTGTCCAATTCAGCTTGTAATTCGAATAAAATATTGATGTCAGCTTGTGATTGCTCATCTTTTTCATAGATAGAAATTATTCCCTTGAGTATTTTATCTTGTCTCATTCTTTTTTCCTTAGATAATTCTTTAGCCCTTTCAATGGCCATATTACGGATCTGAAATTTTGTATATTCCCACTGTTTGCCATATATTTGGTCTTTTTTTGCTTCTATCAAATTTTCATTTATAATTTTTTTGGCTTTTTCTTTGAAGATTCTATCACTCAAAAGTGTATTATTTAATTTCCAATAATTTGGTTTATATTTTATTGATTGATCCCTTATACATAGTACTAAGGTTATCAAATTATGATCAGAAAAAACTGAGGGCTCTATTTTGGTTTCTTCCACATTGTCTAGCAACTCATTTGAAATAAGCCAGAAGTCAATCCTGGATCTCTTAGATAAGCTATTAGCTTGTAGCATTTTCCTATAATGTTCAGCTGACATTGCGCTTCCCGTAGGCTTGTGGGAGTTTATGTAAAATCATGATGGCGGCGGCCTGTGCGAGAACATTTAGTAAGGTCGGTCGGTTAGTTTTAGACACGCCGAAATGCCGCGTAACAAACACCGCAGCATTAGTGCCGAGAATGAGCATGAGATGCCAGGGAAGAGCTTACGGTACCGGCGGTTCGGGATTTAGATCCAGACTTTTGCTCGCTGCACCGGTGCGTGGCAGTGGCAGAGTCCTGGGATGCGCCTTCTTGCTCGGTGGTGGTTTCGGCTTGTACCAGACCATCAAACTCACGCTTCAGCGTCACCTTGCAGAGGAAAAAGCAAATGTAAATATTCAGTAATTCAGTAATGTGCTACATTTCCGGATGTCCTGCACTTTTTGACATGCAACTATAGAAAGTAAATGTCATTTTTGGGTTAGTTTGCTCACCTTGGTTTTGTTAACTTGTTTTGATTAGGCACCGCTGGGGACAGATCTTAAGTTGACTCTGTATCAGTATAAGACCTGTCCGTTTTGCAGCAAGGTGCGAGCCTTCCTGGATTATCATGGTCTGCCATATGAAATTGTGGAGGTCAATCCCGTTATGCGAAAGGAGATCAAGTGGTCCACTTACAGAAAAGTTCCCATCCTGATGGTGAACGAGACGGTGGTATGTAGCTATTCGGATGATGTCTTTCCCGATTATGATGATGAATAATAAGATTCTTCAGATCAAAGTCCCTCTCTGTTATTTCTTCAACAGCAACTCAATGACTCTTCTGTAATTATTAGTGCTTTGAAGACATACCTGGTCAGCAAGTGAGTAGCCTATCTTCTGCTTGACAGTCTTTCTACTTTTTATATGGATGTTGTTGATAGAATTTATATTTAACATTTGGTATATTTCTGTATTGTATTCATGTAGAGAAGGGGTTTTCAAATTGGGACATTAAACAAAAGTTTTTCCTTACAATATTGATTTGACATTTGATTTTTTTATCTAAAGGGATTGTCATCGATTGAGATTGAACCTTTCAGCACGGTTTTCTCTTTTGCTCTAGTTGCTTTGCTGATAAAAAAAAAATGGTTAGGCAAATAAATGTAAATATGAATTCAAATTTGTATTGTCTATTCACTGCTTCTTTTAGGGAGAAAACAATATCTGAGATCCTCGCATTTTATCCTGAGATGAAGGCAAAGAACGACAGTGGGAAAGACGTGAAAGAGTTTGGCAATAAGTACTGGGTCATGGTGCATGACGCTGATGCTGATCATCTATATCCTGGAAAAGACACCAGAAAGTAAAGCAAACAAGTCATGTCTGATAGTGATTGCTTTAATAGTCTTTTTTAATTGAATTTATGGTGTCAAACATAATTTTGCTTGTTGATCTCACTAACACTTTTTGCTTAGAGAGGAGATTAAATGGCGGAAGTGGGCAGATGATTGGCTGGTGCACCTAATTTCCCCAAATGTTTACCGCACACGGAGCGAAGCCCTCGCATCCTTTGACTACATTGTACGAGAAGGCAAATTTAGCACCTTTGAGGGCTTCTTTGCTAAGTATTTCGGAGCTGCTGCCATGTGGGTCATTTCAAAGAGATTGAAAAATAGGTATGTTTTTGAGGGCAGTGGGTTAGTTAATAATGAAAATATTTGACAAAAATGTTTTGATATTAAAGTTTAACCTCATCATACTACACAGACACCATCTGCAAGATGATGTGAGACAGGATCTCTACAAGGCCGTCAATGATTGGGTGGCAGCCATTGGAAAAAATAAGAAATTCATGGGAGGTGATCAACCCAACCTTGCAGATCTGGTATGTGTTTCTCTTTCAGTCTAAAATTATATTAAAGATGCATAAAATACACTGCTGCCGTTCTAAATTTTGGGGTCGTGAAATTTTAAAAACAATGTTTTTGAAAAATATCCTATGCTCACAAGGGCTATATTTATTTGATTACAGTAAAAACAGTAATATTGTCAAATGATTTAAAATAACTTTTTCCCATTTGAATGTACTTTCAAATGTTATGTATTCCTGTAATGAAGAGAAATTTTCAGCATCATTTCTCCAGTCTTCAATGTCACATGATCCTCCAGAAATCATACTAATATGTTGATTTGGTGCTCAAGAAACATTTCGTATTATCAATGCTAAAGATAGTTGTGGTGCTTATTTATGTTTGTGGACACCATGATACATTTTATTTTTCACTTTGATGAATAGAAAGTTCAAAAGAACAGCATTTATTTAAAAAAGAAATATTTTGTAGCATTGTAGCACAAATGTGTTTACTGTCACTTTTGGTCAATTTAATGCATCCTTGCTGAATAAAAGTATACATATCTTAAAAAAAATAAAATAATTTCCTGACCCCAAACGTTAGTGTATATTTTTCCCAGTGTCACAATTGCTTGAGGAATGTCAATTGGATTCACTTTTATTTATTTATTTTTTATTGGCATATCTGAGGTGTGCTGGAAATGACCTTCTTCTACCTTGTGTTTTCAACACAGGCCGTGTTTGGGGTTCTGAGGGTTATGGAAGGCCTTCAGGCATTTGATGATATGATGGAACATACCAAGGTGAAGAACTGGTACCGGCGTATGCAGAAGGTCACAGAACAAGTGTCATAAAATCAAAGCTTCGGTCATGGCTGCAACAACTTGAAGCACTTGACACCACTGCACAACTTGCCATCTGTTGGTAGCGTAATGGTTATGCAAATCTTAAAAGACTACTTTTTCCAGTAATTAAACTGGCTTCCATTCTTCTTCTGCTCGGACTATACCCACAGAGCTTATTTAATTAGAAGAGATCAACAAAACACGCCCAAAATAGCATAAAGTGCTTTTCCTGTTTTTTTTCTCTCTCTCCATGATTTGCTTTACTACGCAACTGATTTTCTACTCAACTATTTCTTTTACTTTGGAAAGCAAAGTGCTATCTGAACCAAATGCTCTTCAAAGTAAAACAACCTCATATGATCTACAGACATTGTGAATGGGTTTTAGTGGGATTGTTCTGAAACATCATATTTTCTCCATCTTTGTGGGCTTAAATAACAAGTTATCAACAAATGTATAATCTGTTTTGTTTTTTTTAACAAATAACGGTTCATTTTGTGCATATGTTGCTCTTGTTCTTCTGAATTGTTGTTTTGTTTCTTTTTGTAATGTTGAAGTGCTGCCACTCTCATCAAGTGGTATTTAGTTACCTCCTAAGCAAATGAGCTCAGCCCTTGTAGTAGATGCTTATCTACCTCCGTTAGGGTTATACTGCTCCCCAGTTCATAAACGTTCAATCTGAGGTTGCAGTGACTTTCAAATCTGTAGGTTCCTTATTGTTGATTATTAATGATTTTCAACCTGGGGTTCTCAATTTAACTTAAAATGTGATATTACTGATTTATGGTTATGTGAAAGTTGACGGTATGCATTATCTTTTGATTTGTCAAAAGTGATAAATATTTGTCAATTAAATAAATTAAAAATCTCGAGCATATGGCTGTCAGCTTGCTTGTAGCCTGTCATGTTTTTTTATAATCTAAACAAGGCATGTTAGGTAAGAACTCCTAAAACTTGGAATACACAAACTATTAATTAAAATATGCATCCTACTAACATCCTACTGCTAATAAAAAGTGCGATAAATTTATGAAACAATTTTACAGACAAATGCCAGAGAAGGAGGTGCCTGCACATAGCAACGCGTCGTTGACATAGAAACCTAATAAGCTTCATTTCATTGGGCGTTAAACACACTTCTCTCAAATCATTGTCGCCGAAGTTTCGAACTAGCCAATCAGATGAAACACAGGACGTTAAAGGCGGGACTCAGAGCGCCAGACGCGTTTCTGATTGGTGGCTATTGTTGTCCATGCGAGAGTCTACCGGGTAATAGGGTAGGCTTGCAAACAACATTACACAGGGGACGCAACGTTGCATTGAGGTTAGTGGCATTTGTATTCGTATCACTTACATTTTAAAGCACATAAATAAAATGATCAGAAGAATTTATCTGGCCGTATAAATATGCAGTGTATGAACAGAAGTAAAGTATTAGGAACAAACTTGACTGAGGACAAATAGTCTTGTTTAACAGTCAGATAACGTTACACATGAATGAATCATAACACTTCTATTTCATGTTTCTCACAAGTTTATGATACACTTCTGGTGAACTTCTAGATACTATTAAGACAAATAAAAGCCGCCCTACTGAACTGAAGGGATGAAAACACGGTCGTCCTCTCCGCCCGTCCATCTTCATGTCCCAGACTCAACATCTGTGCATGTCCACCTAAAGAGTCCACAGAAGAGCCAGGTCAGACTGGATGATTTTTGCTATTCCAGTTTAAATCAGCCTTACTGTTTTACGGAGACAGTGAAACAACTCATCACAACTCTTTTCTTCTGCAGAGTAAAGTTAGCAGTTTACGATCCACTTCCAGTGTAAAGGTCCGAGCTCCCTGGGTTCCTCCTGGAAAAGCCTCAAGACGGAGAGAATACAGATGGGAGGTTTGTTTAGTCCCATTTACCTTTATTTAGTAGAGTCATTTAAAAAAAGTGACTTTGAATGGTCTTTAAAGTCGTCATGAAACGGAAGTTGCGACAGTCTTTTCTCCCTGTTGTTACATGATCTGAGTGAAACGGCTTAACGAACAAGAAAAAAAGTAGCCCGTGACTTGAGTTTGTCCATCGGGAATTGATTTTGATATGGTCAGAGACTATTTATATAAGCCTAAAAGGACTTTGATATGGTTGAACCGAAGTTGGCCGTTGCTGTGATCTCATGTGAGTGACAGGTCCCACCCTCGCGCCAGTAAACACGTCATTGGTTAAAGATTACTAGGGCACATTTAAGGTGCAGTGTGTGATTTTTGTAGCGGCATCTAGTGGTGAGGTTGCGAATTGCAACCAACAGAAGTTATGGTGGCCGACAGGAAAATATGTCGTCATCTGAGACAGCAGAGAGTAGCCAGTTAAGCAATGAGGTTTCTTTACAAAGATAAAGAAATTATGTTACTTAATTATTCAGTAAAACTAAATGTTATTGCGAATATTACTGTTACTTGTTCATCATTGTGTCAGTGTTTTATTAGCTGACTTTAGCTAGTTTCTTTGCACGAAGAACAACATAGTGACGAAACGTGTTTGTTCATTTAGGGCTACTGTAGAAACATGATGGCGCAAAATGGCGACTTAACATGTAACGGGACCCGCGGTGTATGTAGATAGAAACTGCTGATTCTAAGGTAATAAAAACATAATGGTCCATTATGTAATGTCTTTATATACCACTGAAAACAGCGTATGTGATATTGCATTTCAGTCAACAGATCCTCCTAAATATTACACAGTGTACCTTAAAGTTTAAAATAATAATAATTTATAATTATTCGCAATATTCCATTAAAATTTTGAAATGTCAAATTTGATTTCATAGTGACTTTAATAACAAAATTTACCACCAGGGGGCTACTCGCTGCTTAGAGATCACCCCGGCACCGGCCACTGACCCTTCCTCTCCTCCTCTCCGGCTCACTGACCTGTCCAGTGAAGAGGACGATGCAAGAGAAGTACTTGGCAAATATGAGAGAAAAATTGAAAGCCTAATGTCAGAGGTTGACCATATAAAAAGTGAGGTATGGATTGTGATTAATCATGACAATAAGATCGATTTCACAATTGGATTTGAATGTTAAAATCTCCACAGGTAAAGTTACGGCAGACAGAGGACCACCTGAAGCATCAATCACAACAGTTAAGCGCCTGTCGGCGTTTGATTGACCAGCACGAGGAACGACTTGAGGAAGCTAGTAAGGACTTGAGGAGGTCAAAGTGCGAAAATACTGATCTGCGTAGCACTGTAGATGGGACGCAGGGTGAGCCTGGACAAATGAGGTATGGATCTTCCAGATTAATTTGTCTCATTAGCTTTTAGGTCGTGGCCTGAATGCTTAAAGTCACCATGAAATCGAAATTGACTAATCTTATTTTTTAATTTTTTATACTTATTTATCCGTGCACATCATTATTTGTTTTAATTAATGTGCCCTCATAATCTTTAATCAAAATAACTTCCCCTTCCTCTTGCAACAACATCTCTTCTCTTCTCTGATGATGTGTTTACTGGTGTGAGGGCAACATCCTGTCACTCATATGAGATCACTGCAATAGCAAATCACAACCTTCCAATCAATTCCTCGATGGACAAAATCAAGTCCATTTCATTTGGATACATGTCACATCATGCTGACTTTAAAACATGTGATTTATGTGGACAGATCTGAAACAGGACCTCCTCACCAGGAGATGGAAACTCTGCTGAGGAAACTGGTGGAGGCTGAGATAGATGGTCAGGCTGCAGCTAAACAAGTGGCGGCTCTGAGGGAAACCGTGGGAAAACTTAAGAAGGTAAGAAGATGGACAAACTATGCAGTTACCTCTGAAATCTTTTCATGTAAATAAAAAAAGCATACACTTTGTGCATTCAGGACAAAAACCAGTCAAAGACGCAGTCTGATCAGTTGGGCCGTCAACATGAGCTACTCGAGCAGAAGTTGGACACATTTTTGGACACAAATCGCACTCTCAGAAGACTTTTGAGGGAGCAGCATGGGCGGGAGGTACGAAAGACTTCCTTTAAACTAAATGTATACACTTTTTGGGTTGGCTATTGGTTCTGCAGCATTGTGTATGTGTAGTAATTTTTTTTTTTTACGTTTCACCACAGACAGACGGTCTGAGGATGTCTGATGAGAGGGAGATGCTAATGAGAAAACTAGCTGATTCTGAGGCCGAGAAAAGGGTTTGTAATCTAACTCCTACATTTGTTTTTGTGCTGTGAATGTATATACTTTTTTATATTGTTTTGGGGTATTATTGGTATGACTTCTAATTGTAACATCGTTGTGAGCTTGATACATCGATATTTTTTATTCAACAATGATGCATTAAATTGATCTAAAGTGACAGTAAAGACTTGTTACAAAAAATATATATTTTAAATAAATTGTTCTGAACTTTTCAATCATCAAAAATCCTGGAAAAAATATATCAGGGCTTCCACAAAAATATTAAGCAGCACAACTGTTTTCAACATTCATAATAATAAGAAATGTTACTTGAGTACCAAATCAGCATATTAGAATGATTTCTGATGGATCAGACTGGAGTAAAGGGTGCTGAAAATCACAGAAATAAATTACATTTTAAAATATATTAAAATACAAAACAATTTAATTTTAATTTTAAATTGCAATATTATGTTACAATATTCTGTTAGAGACTGTAGTTAATGCTTGAATGTAGAGCGGTTTTGTTTTCCTTAAATACTTTGTTGATAGTATTACTAGTTATTGTCACTTTCTCTTATAGAAACTTGAGACTAAACTCAACAACAGGGAAAGAGAAGCCAATAAGATAGCTGAGAATTTGGAAACTGAAAAGGTAATAGTAATTTCCACTCACTATTTCTCTTATTTTTTTCAATGCGTTTCCAAAACATTCTTCTATGGCATGTTTTAGGAGCTCTTCTGCATTTCTAAATACTTGCATAGTGAATTTGCATCAAAGTTGCTCCTGTGTTGCGGAGTTTTAAAACAGGAAGTGTTTTAAGAAGGTGTTTTGTGATTGTCATCACAGGAGCATCTGAGGACCACAGGAGAGCTGTCCAAGGTTCTTGAATCCACTCGCAGTCGCTTGCAGAACCAGCTGCACAAGAAAGAAGCTGAAAATAACCGTTTGGAGGCTCAGATCCAAGTAAGACAACTTTTTACTGCGTATTCAGTTTTCATTTACATGAAAACAGTGAGATATCTCATAGAGATTGTACTGTATTGTGGCACAGAGGCTGGAAGGGACACTGCAGCATCAGCAGGAGGAGGTTCAAGGCCTTATGAAGCAGATGAGAGAGCTGAAGCAGCACTGTGAAGGAGACAGAGACATCCACAAACAGGTCTCGGAGGACCAGAGGAAGCGGGCCGAACAAAGTGCGAATACAGCTGCACAGCTCTCTGCACAACTCTCAGACAAGGTACTGTATACAGAAGAACAATGTTAAATGTGCTTCAGGGTTTCATATAAATCACATAAAGT